TTTAATACGTTAATTATTATGGTGCAAATACAATTTATTTATATAATTCAAAAAAATTATTGGAGCAAAATATAATTTATTTAATTCAAATAAAAATTATTTTGTTCGAATATAGATATTTTATTTTTATTAAATATTTTTTATTTAAATCAATTAAAATCGAATTTATTTCCAACACAGAAATATTATTGAAACGAATAAAATTTGTTTTTATTAAAATAAAAATTATTTCTTAATACAAATACATTTGTATTTATGTTCAATAGAAACAGAAATTATTTGGGGCAAATAAAATTTGTTTAATTTAAATAAAAATTATTTGGTTAAAATAAATATTTAATTGTATTAAATAATAAATTTTATTTGTATCAAGTATGTAATAATTTTTATTTGTATCAATTATAATAATTTTTATTTGATTCAATTAAAAGGTATATATTTATTTCTAATACGTTAATTATTATGGTGCAAATACAATTTATTTATATAATTCAAATAAATTATTGGAGCAAAATATAATTTATTTAATTCAAATAAAAATTATTTTGTTCGAATATATAGATATTTTATTTGTATTAAATATTTTTTATTTGAATCAATTAAAATCGAATTTATTTCCAATACAGAAATATTATTGAAACGAATAAAATTTGTTTTTATAAAAATAAAAATTATTTCTTAATACAAATACATAATTTATTTGATACAAATATACATATTTATTTGATAATCTTCAAGTATAAACAATTATTTGAAGTAAATAATTTTTTTTTTCACTGTGTATAAAATAAATATATATGTGTATATTTAATAATCTAAATATTATTTGGAATAGTAAAAAAAAATTCTTCGAAAATTGTATATTATATAAGATTTATAGAGTTATATAATTATATAAAATATTCCGGGGAGGAGGAAAGACGCGATGAAGATGAAAAATGCATTTCTCAGTAGAAAATCGCGGCACGGTTTGACAGGTATATAGTAACCTGGAGATAATGGATTAGGATTTTTTTTGAAGAGCATAAGCTAAGCCTATAAGGCATGGTCACGGAATGTAAGCACCACAATCCGATACAATCTCTCTATATATAGTTAAAATAATATTCAATATATTATATTTTATTTATTATTTATAATAAATATTTTTTTTTATAAAATAGATATTTTCTTTTTATAAAAATAAATAACAAAAATTTACTTATTATTAATGAATGTATGTGAAAATAGGAAAAATATTGATCTGAATTAAATTCGAAATATTCGTGACAAAATTGAGTTTTTGATTTGAATTGGAACGCGAACAGCTTTCGGTCAAGGAATTTGCCTCGACCTCGAGGTACTTATCGGTCAAGTAAAAGAAGATGCAGAAAGGTATGCAGCCAGGTAGATTGCGTGCACACATATAAATATATATCGAAAACTTAGTAATAATATTTCTAGCAATAGTTTTATATATATATAACTAAATAACAGAAAGAAAAAATATACGTCGAATTAAAAAAAAAAAAAAAAAAATGTGTAAAAAAAGAAGAAATTTTAGAGGTTGAGGTGGGGGGTTTAAAGAAGGTAAAATGAGGAAGAAGAGCCTGAAGAAGGAGAAAGAGGACAGCGAGTGAGCGAACGTGTAAAAGATGTGGTCGCTGACCCGTTCGGAACGTTGACTCCATGCAGTCAGTCCCCTCTTTATATATATATATATATTTTACATTACTTTATTTTACCTTACCTTACCTTACCTTGCCTGATTACCGAGCAAGTTACCCTACCTTGCCCCCTCCCCCTCCCAACCTACCCACTTCACTTTACCGGTATCCACCACTTGCTATCTTGTACGATCTCTCCTTCAATCAGAACCGTATCTAGTTTTTCAAGACCCTGCTCAACTCTCTATTTTCTTCTTCTAAATAATTTTTATCATAATCAATTAATTTGGAAACAAATTTATTTCATTCAAATAATCGATTACTTGACTATTAACAAATAAATATTTATCAAATAATTTTTGAAACCAAAATAATAAACTATTTTTAGAACCAATATAATTTCTCTATTTGAAAAAAAATATATATATTATATAATCTCAAATAATTTCTAATGCAAATAATATTTTTTAATAAAAATAAATATTTATTTAATTTAATATAATAAAGTAAACGATTATTTGAACTAAATAAATTTTTTTTGTCACACAAATAAAATTTTTATTTACGCCAAATAAATAAGTTAGTAGGCTCTGAGGCAAATATACGTTTATTTAACTCAAATATATTTTATTTGGTTCAAATAAATCATTTCTCTGGGTGCAGTGTATCATTATTATTATTATATTAATTGTTTTTTTTCTAATATTTTGTCATAAATAAAGGGCAAATACGCGAAAAAAAAAGAATTCGTCTCTACAATAAATAAATAAAATAGTGCAATAAATTAATGTAAAATAACGTTTTTTTTACGAAACTTATTTCAATAGAAAAAAATCTTAACGAATATTGTATAAATTAAATTGTGAAAAAGTATTAAAAAAAAACTCACCGATCGTTGATATTGAGATTTTTCCATTATTTTGATCCTTTTTATTTGGTCCATTTCCTTTTTAAATATGTGGGCACTTTTTAATTCTGTAAATAAAAAATTAATATATAATAAATTAAATTACAGAAAACAAAAATTTATTTTAAAAAATTGAAATATTATTATATTAATTATAGGTACAATTTTATTTATTACTATTATATTATTAATAATCTATCAATGAGACTTTAATTATTAATAAATGTATTTTATTTAGCAATATTAGTAAAAATAGAAATTAAAATATTTTTTGTCATTATTAATTTATTAAATATTTATTCATTAGACAATTTAATAAAAATATTTATTTGTATTTGTTTTTTATTTATTATTATTTTCTATTAATTATTAATTTATTATTATTTATTAATTTATTATTACTGATTATTGTTTATAGGTTTTATTATCTATTTATTATTATTTGAGTCAATTTAAAAAAGTATACTGAAAAAAATATTTGATTAAAATAAATATTCACTTGAATCAAATAATTTTTTATTTAAATTAAATAAACTGTATTTGAATTAATAATTTCTCTATTTGAAACAAATATCATTCAATTAACTCAAATAATAATTATATTTAATTAAAAAAATTATTTATTTGATAGTAGTCAAATAACCGATAATTTGAATTAAACACATTTTTTTCAGTGCATTTGTTTCAAATAGAATTTATTTAATTCAAATAAAAATTATTATTATATTTGGTTCTGAAATGATAAATGATAAATAATAAATAAATACCTATATATGAAAAAATAGATTGATAAGTATATAAAACAAAATCAATTTATTTATTTCTCTTTAAATAGCTTTCTCGTGATAAATTTTATTTTACTATATAGTTAAGTTGCAATCAATAAAGCAAGTAACGAAAAAAAACATGCTTGTTAAGTATTTTTCTCCATTAAAGAAATTAGCATTCTCGTTTTCCGATTTTTTTTTTAAATTATCCAATGCTGGTTATAGTCTAATCTGACATAGGAAGTTTTATTTGCAAAGAAATTTCCGTTGATATTTAACGAGAGAAATTTAAATTCTTTTTTTTTGTCGAGTTTACTTTTTTTCTCTCTCTCGATATATTTTACACAACTTTTTATATTACATATCAAATTTTATTTAAAATTATTAAAGTTTTTCAAAAACAGAGATACTAACGGAGATTAAAAAAAAGTGAACTATCAGATCGATTAAACTTCTTTATCCAATAAGGAAATAAAAATTTATTTTCTATTAAGATCTAATTTTACTTAAAAATGTTTAGAGAATAGACAAATAATCAATTATACTTTTATCTCAGTTCGACAATAGAATAAAACAGTAAATTATTCAGCAAAAAAACATGAGAAAAAGCACGTGGCATAATCAATGCACATTATGTAAAATAAATTATTAAAATCTTACCAAAATGTAATAAAAGTTGAGTCGAAACATAACCTTTTTGTTTTTTTTTCCACAATTGTCACAATATACTTTAAGAAATTTAACAATACTTTTGGTAAATTTGTTTTAAAAACTGAAAATACGAAACCGAACAATCAATGTCGTTATTATAAACATAACCTAACATAGCTTGATGAATGAAAATTAACGGTTTAAAATCTCAACACACTTGTTACTGATTATGAAAATATTCATTCTCGAAATAATAGTTAATTGTGTTATGACAATAATAGATAAAAAAAACAGTGTTAAAATAAACAAAATTCACTAAAACTACAAGTCCCGATTTTAAATGAAACGTACTTTTTCAGCGCCAAAAACTAAGTGGAGATACTTGACCGTTGCAATGTCTTAAACAACGGGCGCCCTCTCTCGAGTTTTTTCACAAGTAAATAAGGGCGTCACTATTGCAGCGCGAAATTCAAAATTAGTCATTTTTTAAAATTGCCAAAATAAATAATATATATTAAATAAAATAATAAATAAATTTAAATAAAACTTATTATAATTAAATATAATGAATTTTTTGATTAAAATAAAATGTAATATAAAATAAATTTACTTATTTAAATTTTGAAACAAAGGATATTGTTTTTTGATAATTTAAATACAACAAATATATATATTTTATAATAAAATTAATTATTGTAATAAAATATAAAAATTCTTACCAAAATTAATAAAAGTCTGATAGAAACCAACTCTTGATTGATTTTTTATTGTTAGCCATCTTCAGATGGTTTCAGTTTCTCAACCCTGGGAATTGTTGTATTGTGAATTGAGCTTTATATTTGTTACCACAATTGGACAACAGAAGGCGCTTTTATTGCACACGCGTCACCGGCAAACCTGTATTTTCTTGCGCACGCCGGACGTTTCGTGGAAACAAGACCAGGTGTAAAATATCAGACAAAAAACTACCAAACTACCAGGTTTCTTGGATTGAAGGATCGCGGGTACAGTAAGTCCTTGCAGATTTCTCGCATGAGCTTTAAATCGCTTGCTCGAATTTTCTCGGCGTAGTTTATTTTCCGGGTATTGCAATTAGCAATAGCGTGTTGATTTGCGCGAAGGTAGTTGCTCTCGAAAAATCAGCGCATGGTTCTTGAGGAAAGTGACCAGTGGTGGCCCACCTCGAAATCAAGTATTTCTTCCGGCTCCAACAGACGAACCAATAGAATTCCTTCTAGTGACGCCATTAAGGCTGAATTCGTGGCACGCCCTACGACTTCCTCCATTGTCCTTCTTTCCGGGATTCTCTACAAGGAAGGATGGCGCAGAACAATTATTTCGGATTTACTCACGGCGGAACTCAATATGGGTACGAAATCGTCTAAATTTATTTTTTATTAAGTAGTTAGTGTTAAGCGTCAAGTTTTATTCGCGACGGGTTGACCGCGATATCTTAACGTTCTCTGCACTCGAGGGGGCTTTAACGTGTTTCGAAAGGCACTTAGCCGGCTCGGCCGCCATTTCTCGACGTGTGTAGAGCGTCTATAGAGCATTTTCGAGCATTTAGTCTTCGGGTCAAATTTTTTTTTTCCATCTTAAAGCCTCTTTCATCTAACGTTCGTAACTTTTTTTTTTCCCCACCCCCCTTTTCCAACTGTGATTAATCTCAAGAAGAAAACAAATTCAAGCAGCCGAAAAACTAGAGTGAATTTATGTTATATATAGGGCGACCAGCGCTGCCGCCTATCAAACAGGACAAGCGGGATACGCAGTGACGCCAGCGGCTACAGCCGCCACATACACTCAACGACCTGCAGCAGCTGCAGCTACTGGTTACGAAACTTATCAAGCGGCCGCTGCTGCAGCCGCCACAGGCACAACATACGCCGGTAAGTTTATTTTACTTTTTCTCTCCTCATTTTGGTAATATTTTCCCTTATCTCTCTCTCATACATGCTTTTAAGTTGTCTTGTAATTTTAATTTCAATTTAAAAGAAATGGTAGAAAAGTCATTTTCATATTTAAATAAATTTGTTGTCTTCTCAATTTCTTGATTCCTAAGCATCCAAATAGGAAATTGGAATGCTGCCAGAGATTAAGTGCTTTCTTGGAAATTTAAATTCAAATCTCAGTAAATTTTCATCATTCATTGTCTTGATTAAAAATAAAGTGTAATTAAAAAAAAAAAAAAAAATTGTACTTTTTCAACAGCAAATCCTGGTACTGTGGCACAGACATACGACTACGGATACGGACGAGCTGCACCGGCTGCTACCTACGACGCTACTAAGACATATTATCAACAACCAGCAGCAGCACCAGCAACTTATACAACAACAGAGACTCATTATCAGGCAGCAAAGCCCGCGTATAGCACAACTAGTGCTTATACAGGAGCTCCTAGACAAGCAACAACAACAGGACAGGCAAAAACTTATCAGGCATCAAGTACTGCTTATCAACAGTCAAATCCTTCACAGAGTGCAACATATTCATCAGGTTATACTGCACCACCAACACCAGCTGCTACTCCGTCCGCGGCAACAAATAGTAAGTCCCTATATTTTTAAAATTTATTCTCCATTTTTAGTTTCTTTGAAATATTATGTTTATCTAGAATTTTAATTTACAAAGATTACCAAAATAATTTAACTGGAATTTGCGTTGGTAAGTATAAGAATGATGAAATAATTTTTTTTTCAGTTTTGAGAAAAATAATTAATTTTCAATAAATAAAATTTTTGTGTTTTTTTTTTATAGAAACGGCGAGTACAGCGTATTCTGGCTACGACGCGGCGCTCTACAGCGCTGCGACAATGTACGTAGCCCAGCAGACAGCCAACACCAATTCCACCAATCAAAAAACTGGTGGTTGGCAGGGCTATGGTCGTAAGGGATTTGGTGCCGGTGGTGGTGGTGGTATGAAGCAAATGCGTCCAAAGCAACCGCCAAAACCACAACAATTACATTATTGTGATGTTTGTAAAATAAGTTGTGCTGGTCCACAAACATATCGGGAGCATCTTGAGGGTCAAAAGCATAAGAAAAAGGAGGCTTCATTAAAAGTGCCACAACAACCACCAGCAAGAGGCGCTGGTAATTCATTACGTTGTGAACTTTGCGATGTCACTTGTACCGGAAATGATGCATATGCAGCACATATACGTGGCGCAAAACATCAAAAGGTCGTCAAGCTACATACCAAACTTGGAAAGCCAATACCAAGCCCTGATCCAACAGTTCTCAATCCAAAACCAGCGGCTGCTGCCAAAACAACAGGAAAAAAAGGCACGGTCACGGCTACTCCTAAAATCAACTTTGTTGCTTGTTAGTATTTCTTTTAGTCATCACAATTTCATTTTTTTTCTCTTTCTCAAATTATTTTCTTCTTTTTACAAAAATTTTTTTATTTTCATTTATATTTACTTATTGTTACCAATATTATTTGTTAATCCTTTTTTTGTTCTACATTTTCGTATAGAAATCTAAAATGCTCTTTTTTATCATAGCAATAAAAAAAAATATATATATATGCTTCCGGGTGTTCACTAGACCGTAAACCCGGGAAATAACAGAATTTGCCAAAAACTCGTATTTTTAAATTTAAATTATAAGTTGCACGTTATTTTTTTATTTGCATGCAAAAAAAAAAAATTGGGTCACAAAAAAATTTATTGTTACAGCTGGAAATCTTGGAACCGTTAATCAAGCGGCAGCGGAAATAAAAATTGAAGATGGAAGTGACGATGTTGGTGATGATGCAAATATAGATGAGAAGGATATACAACCTGTTGGACAGGAATATATTGAGGAGAATAAATCTGATGACGGAAAAATCATTAGCTTTAATTGTAAATTGTGCGAATGTCGTTTTAATGATCCAAACGCCAAAGATATGCACATGAAGGGTCGTCGTCATAGATTTGCATATAAAAAAAAAGTAAATCCAGATCTTGTTGTTGATATGAAGCCAAGTCTTAAGCAAAGAAAAATGCTTGAGGAAAAATTACGTAGACAACAAGTTAGAGAGGAATATATGCGTCGTCGTGAGGAAATGAATCAAATGGGCCCAATGGGACCAATGTGTCCAATGATGGATGAAGAAATGATGTACTGGGAAGAAAGACGACGTTACGAAGAAGAATGCGAATATTATGAATGGTATCGACGTTATGGCCGAGGACCTGGTGCACCACCAATGCCAAGACCATTCCCTGGACCACCTCCAATGATGATGTTCCCAGGTCCCCAGAGACGTCCCGATTCATCTGATGATAAACACGTTCTCTCTCATCATTCGACTATTTATCCCAAGGAGGAAGAACTGCAGGCAGTTCAAAAAATTGTTTCACATACGGAAAAAGCATTGAAATTTGTCTCAGACACTTTAGCTGAAGGAGGTAATTGTCATTTTTAGTAATTGTTTATTATTTTTCATAATTTATTTTAAATAAATTCAATTTATTAGGTAAAAAGCCAGGTGCTACTAATAATACAGCGGCTGTAGTGTCTGCGCCAGCTGTTGCGGTTACTGATGTGAAAAAAGAGGATGGAGATAAAAAGAAGAATGCAACACCCCCACAGAAAGAGGATGGAAGTGATGGTAATCTATTCTCATTTCAAAAGGAGAAAGAGGACTCGCGAATTCTTCGTGGTGTTATGCGCGTTGGAAATCTTGCAAAGGGTCTTCTTCTTTCTGGCGACAATCATGTTTGCCTCGTTGTTCTCTGTGCCGAAAAACCAACAAGGTAAGTAATGAAAAAATTTCGCAAGAAAATTCTCTATTTTTGTTATTTTAAAAATGATTTTTTTTTTTTCAATATTTAGAACTTTATTAAACAAAGTTGCGGAAATTTTACCAGCCCAATTAAAGACAGTTGCACCAGAAGATTCGTATAATGTTGGTAAACATCCGGAATCAGCTGCATTGACTGTATCTGGAGGATCTGTGACTGTCAGTATAACTCTCACAAGTCCATTGATGCGCGATACAACAAAAGCAACACCCGCAGGTAATTTAATCGTTAAACGATTTCACGATGGCCAAGAAAAGGATAATCCAATTAATTATTCTTATTATTTAATTATTATTATTATTATTATTAGTCAGAAATAGAGGAAGCAAATTTTTATTTTTGTTTCACACGCGTTTTTTGTTTGTTCTTTTCATGGCCTGGATATTGATATCTTTATTTTAAGCACCCGAAGAAAGAGATATTTATATATTGGGAGAAAAATATTTTAAAGAAATAGAATATAAATAGGTGCAGCCAAGGACTATGGGACAAAGCAGTCGATTCGCGATTTTTTCTAACAAAAATATTTCCTTTTTGATGCAGCCGCATTCAGTGTGTCCACGGGGTAGTTGATATTTGTTATTTCAATTTATAATATTTTGTTTTAATTCCGCGCTTTTTTTTGCTAATTTAAAAAAAAATTGTTTCTTTATCAATTGAGAAAAATTGCAAATAACGCATGAATATTGACTAAAATTTAATGATGTCGAATTTCATATTTTTTGATGCTGTAATTTTTTTTTTTTTTTTTTCTTTCAAATTGAAATTAGACATAATTTTAGAAAATACTCAAGTGTCACATATGGCAAATTTTGTAGATTTAAAAATTTTTTTTTTGCAACTTTTCTTTTTTACAAAATGTAGTTTGATAGATTTGCAAATTAAATTTAGAATTTAATTGCATATAAAGATTGTTATTAGTTTTTAATGATAAAGAAAACACAAATTTCGCAAAAATAGTTTCACTTAGTTTGCTTTTTTCCGGATACACATCGAACGTGGACATGCTTCTGAGATCAAGAAACAACGCTGAGGCAATCTTAAAACTATGGACTTTTTGATCATGCTATAATTATTTGTTAATTACCCTCTATCGATGCTCGATGCACGAACTTGTCTCTTTCAATGCACTTACATTTTGTATAGCCGAATTCTCTTTTTAAAGGTTTTTTCTTTTTTTTTCTTTCTTTTTTCAAAATCCTTAGAAATTGAGGATTTGGTTTCTACAGATCTCGGGGAATTGAAATGCACTTTTTTGAAATAATGCTAATAAATTGAATTAAGTTATATGCATTTAAAAATTTTTGAGATCCGTATTAGAAACTCGTGAGAAGAGAAGCGTGTGTGCATCGTTTAGCATTTATGGTAGTTTAAAATATTTATTTTCTATTTTTTTTTTTAAATCTTTGTTTTTATTGTTGAGGAGTGCATTTTGAAATGCGATTTTTTAAAAGGGTTTTTTAATATTATTTTTTGTTAATTAAATGAGAAAATGATAAAAATAAAAAAAAAATCTTAAAAGGGGCATGATCAAACACTCTAAGTGTTGTCTAAGCGTGTTATGCTTTCTTTGTTGAAATCTCAGATAATGCTGGACAGCAGCAACAGGGAGCTGCTCAACCACAAACGACGCCCGCAACGCCAACTGTGACCAAACCAGATCCGCTAGACGTACTTCCCAAGGCTAAGTGTTTGGAGGCTTTAGCTGCACTCAGGCATGCCAAGTGGTTTCAGGTTTGAATCAATTAACACTCAGTTCAAAATCTTGAAAAAAAAAAGAAAGTTAAAGAAAAACCTTTTGTTTTCCTACGTATCAATAAAGAAACAGAAAGTAGAGAAAAATTGAAAGGAAAAAAAAAGAAAAAACGAGTACAAATTATCCTTTTAAAAGAGCAGTCTTAGAACTTCCAGCCTTGTGAGAATTTATGAAATTATAATTATTATTATTATGAAAAATTCGGCCTGAAGTCTCGCTCGTTTGTTCGCATTCGATGTTTGAGCATATTTCTCAATTTTATTTCTGTATTTTGCTTATTTTAATAACAAAAAGTAAAAAAATTTAGGATTTGATTATTTTTAATAAGATTTAATAATTTTAAAAAGTTATCGCAATTTTTTCCGCCTTTACATTTGAGAATGCGATCAGATAGTTTTTTTTCAGGCAGGAACTTTAGTGTAATACAGACAATTGTCGATAATTATTATTGACACTTGTGTTTACAATTTGTTCCTATAAATAGTAATATTAATATCCAGAATAATAAACAATAAATGAATTAAAAAATTTCTAAATTTTTTCAACTTTTCTATATCTGAATTTTATCAAGTTTATTGATTTATTTGCTTTTTTATTTAAAAAAAAAAAAAATGAGACGCGAGGAAATAATTATTCTGGATCAATGCGCAATATAGCCTAGACTGAGTTCTGTTCTAGGTCTGTCTTTCAATCAAGAGTGGCGCATTTTTAAATTTTAAAAGGAAGAAACAATTTTTATTTATTTAAAAAGTAATTCCTTTTTTTTATGAAAAAACCTTTTTCTCAATGTATTTTTTATTATTGCATTAGCTTCAATGAAATATTTTGTTCCTTCAAGCACTGCTCTAGTTTGACTTTTCATTATTTACAAATATTATATTTGTATTTTTACAAATTTATTGTGCTAAATACGAGAGCACGATATTTTTTGAAATAAAGAGACAGACAAGCACAAGTACACAGTGGTGTCATGAGAATACCGGGTGTTTTTTGTTTTATTTTTTCTTTTTGAGAATTAAATTTTGTTAAGAATTTATTTCAACTTTTAACAATGATTATTTAAATATGTATAGTTGTTTTTTGAAAAATTAGAATTGTAAGAATTTTTTTTGTGAAATTTATTCTTAAACACCCGGTAAAATTGATATGGGCTAATGAAAATTATTATACATATTTATATAAAAATTAGGCACGAGGTTGGAAGGTTAGCTAAAGCCCACACAAAGCAAAAAAAAAAAAAAAATCAAAGGTCAGCTTTAGGATGGTGATATGTTTTAGTAAAAGCATTTGTTTTTTTAAAAATGTTTATATAATTGTTTTATATTTCTAATAGGCTAGAGCAACCTCATTGCAGAGCTGCGTAATGGTTATACGCATAATGCGTGATCTGTGCAACCGTGTACCAACTTGGGGACCATTAAATTCATGGGTTTGTATAATTATTATTATTATTTTTTTTCAATTAAATTTTTTCGAAAATAAAAATGATGAAATTGATGACGAGACTGAGTGTATCGCAAAACTATTAATGATATTGAAATCAAGTCTTTTGGTTTCTTTGATTGTTTCTAGATTCTTGTGATACTACACAGATGATTTGGCAAACTGATTATAAGCAAAATAATTACTTAAAAAAAAATAAATAAATGAATAGAAAGTTTGAAAATTAACATTTTTTTCTTCTCTATCTAGGCATTGGAATTGTTAACGGAAAAGGTGATAAGCACCGCTGGTGGTCCATTAAGTCCAGGTGAAGCTTTAAGACGATTATTGGAATGTGTCGCAGGAGGAATTTTACTACCTGGAGGTCCAGGTATGAATCTTTTTCATAAATAACAATTTTTTTTTTCTAATTTGACAAATAGATATTATTAATTACGAATGATGAAATTGATGACGAGACTGAGGGTATTGTAAAACTATTAATGATCTTGAAATCAAGTCTTTTGGTTTCTCTGATTGTTTCTAGATTATTGCGATACTACACAGATGATTTGGCAGGCTGACTATAAATATGAAAGAGAATTTTCATTCTTTATTTTAGAAAAATTCGATAATTAATGAATTTGTTTTTTTTTTTTTTTAATTTTGCAGGTTTGTCCGATCCTTGTGAAAAGGATCCAATTGATGCAATAGGAAATATGACTGCCCAACAAAGGGAAGATATATCATCTTCGGCGCAGCATGCACTCAGGTTAGTGGCATTCCGACAAATTCATAAAGTCCTTGGTATGGAACAACTTCCACCACCCAAATACAAGGGACGTTTTGCCCGTAAACGAAGACGTGACAATAGTAATGGCGAGGGCACTGATACTGAGACTTCGAAAAAGGACAAGAAGGCCGAAGAAGTCAAAATGGAGACGGATTCTAAGTAGATCCTACCAAAACATTCAATTTACTGATTAAGTATAACTTATCTAACGTAAGAAAAAATTCTCAAGCATTCAATGGCCTGTTTATATCAAGTTGTTTGCTTCTTTTTTTTTTTTTTTTTCTTTTAAAATAGAGAATAATTCTATATATATATAAAAAAAAAAATATTGAAGTTTCTCGACGACAATGTGTTTTTTAAAAAAACAATTTTCGTTTATCTTGACAATTTTTAATTTTAAGTGTCTCATTCTCATTTATTTCTATAAAAAATGAGATGTCTTTTTTTTTTATTTAATTAATTGAAAGAAAGGTAGACTGAAAAAGTAACTCAAAGAAGTTATTGACCCTTTTTAAAACAGGCCATTGTGGCGAAAATAAATCTAGTTCTAGGAATTCCTCGAATGAGTCGATAGAGAATGCATTGAGTAGTTTGGATTACGTATTAAGCTATTAATCTACTTTAAAGAAAAAAAAAAGAAAAAAAAAAAAAAAAGAACCGCCTGATATGAAGGGAGTTGTAATCGAAGGACGTGGAGATTTGTAATGTTTTTTTTTGAAAGTAAAGCTAACGCGTAGAGAACACATTTGTATCAAGACTTCATATGTGTATGTTGTGTGTGTAGTCGTACAAAAATGAAAAAGAAAAGCTAAACAAAAAAAAAAAAAAAAAAAAAAAATTAGAAAAAATGAGAAAAAAAGAAACGTTTGTTCTTATATCATGATTATTTTCAACGCATAATTAGTAAATATCAGAGCTTCGAACAGTCACAAATATTTATTTGCAAGATTTAAAAATAATAGCTACACTTGTCATCGAGTTTTTTTTTTCCATTTGTTTAATTAAAGTCACAAACTTCTAACAGTTTTTCATTAATATTTTACATTTAAACAGTCATTTTTTTTTCTTTCACAATATTTCTTCGATGTAGGGTGTATTTCTTTTTTTTTTTTGCTCTTGTATTTGAAAAACTTTCCTTGAATAAACCAAACGTGTATAACATTTTGGACGTTTCCTTTTTTTTAAAACAAAAGAAAAACCATTACTATTATTATTGTTGTCCACAGGATTTAAGCGAGAGGACTATTTTTTGTGTATCTGGCCACACACACAGTAACACAATTTTTAAAAAAAAAACCGGTGAAATTTTTCTATATTTTGAATATTATTTTCATTTATAGTAGAGATGTGATTTTATCTTTTTTTTTAATTTAAAAAAATTAAATAATCATTTCCTATATAACGTTATAAATAAATTATTAATTATTTAATATTAATTATAGCATTGGAATATGATTAATTTTATTCGATTATATTAATATTTGATTAATATTTTTTTGATTTTGCATGATTTTAAACATCTCTATTATCTATTAATTTTCAAAGATGAATTTTTTCTTATAATCACGATTATAAAAGTTAAGTTAAGCAAATGAAATTTTGTTTTAACTTTACTTTAATTATCAAATAGAAAATATAAAGGATGCCGTCAATTTCTTGTATCTCCGTTATAAAAAAAAACTAATCCAATTTGAATGCTGTGGTGTTTTACTAATAACCAACACTTTTCTTCTATTTCAGTCTAATTAAGATATTTTGGACACACGACAATCTTTGGCAAAATAATAATTCTATAGGTAAAAATTTTACAGAAAGTAATTTTTTTTTGTAAAAATTTTAAACATTTTTTAAACATATTGTAATTTTGTTTTATTAATAGAAATATATATATTTTTTAAATATTATTCTTAAATTTGTAATAAAATAAACGTTACTATTCATATTTGTTTAGTAATTTTTTATGAGCCGTGAAAAAAAGTAAATGAAAAACAAATTTACGTTTCCACTCGATTAACATTCGATAAAGATTGTCGTGTCCTTACTATCTTAAGTATTTGCAGAAAAGTGTAAATTAGTATTAATACATATTGAATCGTGTTTTTTTATAAAAAAAAAAAAAAAAAAAAATACATGATCTTGACTTTTGTATTGTTCCTATTAAAAATAACAGTTTATCGATTGAAAAGTGGTCATGATCTTTTCTTTTTTTTTTTTTTCGACATTTACTTTAAACTTGAGTTTTTCTCATTTTACTATTGTCATTTCCACTATTCAATTCGGTTCCGTCAACGTATTAGCGAAATCTTCGCGAAATATTTAAATAATTGTAGACATATATTTTCATTTGCAATTGAGAAATACTAGATTTAGGCGAAATTAATGCAATTTGAAATTTTATTTGTGATTTGACAATTTTGAGAAAAAAATTGAAGAATTTTCAATTTAATATCAATTTAAAAGACTTTCACGATGAAATATGGAAAAAAAAAGATTATAAAGGACTAAAATAGACTTTTTTCATAAAATTGAAAAGGAAATAAAATAAAATCTATTTTGCAATAAATTGCAAATAAATTCAATTGTTTCATCACTTTTTAAATTTTACTGATAATATTTAAGTTTTTTTTCATCTTTTTTTTTTTTTTTTTAAATTAAACACGAAGAAATTATAATTATTGTAAACTGCGTTAATTTTCTTTTAAAAGTTAGATTATAGTTATTGAAATTAAAATGGTTATTTCACTTAGTAATTTACTAATTTTAAATAAAAGACTTGAAATGCTAGTCGTCATACTATTATGACATGTGTTATATAATACACCGTAAGAAAGTATTCATTATTGCAAAGTGCATTAATAAAAATAAACAAAAATTTGAATATGTTGAAATGAGAAAATAATAATTTTTAAATACTAAAATGTAGAAAAATTGTTTATTTCTCGTCTCAGGATTTTCAAATCTAAAAGGAGATGAAAAACTCTATTATTGATTTTCTTTTTGTTTTTTTTTTTTTATTTTACTCAAACAAGTATTTTAGGAATTAAATTGACATTATTGTGTAATAAATAAAAACATTATTTTGTAATTTCTGCGCAATACGTGATGTTTATTTGTTATTCATTAGGATTGTGTATAATTGATGCAAATAAATAAACTAATTCATATTTCAAAATGAGGGTATTAATGATAGGAAAATTTAGAAAGGAGAAAGAGATGTATACTACTTTCGCCACTATGCATTACAAAAAAGGTCAGTTTTTATTTTATCTAATTTTTTTTTTTAAATATTAAATGATGTAAAAAAAATGGATTTTTATTTATTTAATTGAAATTGACATGATATGCAATTTTAATTGAATAAAAAATAATTTACGTAGAAAATTTATATTTTCTAATTTTTCTAGAATTTTTAAAGTATTGAATGAGACTTGTTTACCTAAAATAAAAAGAAATGTTAAAAATAAACTTTATGATAAATCGTAAAATTTGTGAAAAATTTTACTGATAATTTTCTAATATTAGTTTTGCTATTTTTTGAAATGAACAAATACAAAGGAAAATTTATAATATTAAAAGTTATTTTATGCTTTAAACAGTTGAGTAAAGAAATGTTCTAGAAATTTGGAAAGACAAAAAAACTGAATCATTGTTGGCATGTTTTAACCTGTCTTTTGCGATGTTGCATCAGCATTTTTAATATACACGTGCATTGCAATGACTTGTTATTATCGTCAGTATAGAATATTCTAGTAATATATACGACTTTCTGATAACTAATTTATCTTTATAATCTTAAAGAAAACGTCATATTTTTTTCTCTTAAATTGAATTATAATAAATATATATCCAATTAGTAACTTTAGAAACCTATTATTTTTAAAGCTCTTTGAATTTTTCATAAAACAAATTTTAGTGAAAAAATAACATTAAAAATTCACTTTTTAGTAATATTATTAATAATTTAAGAAATATTTTTAAACAAAGGATTTAAATTTCCAAAAATATTAATGAAAAATCCTTTGTGATGAAATCCAATGAAAAACAAATTCGTGTCTGCTGTCTTTTTTAACCAATTGAAAGTTTTAAAGGGTAGACTCTCAACCAATCAGGAGCATTTTCCGGTGACGTCACAGTTGTCAATGCGAGGTTATAAAAGTAGAACTTCCTTTCTTTCCCGTTTAGTATTCAAGTGTTCTTCAACGGAGTCACAAGTTTTCATCGTGATATTATTTTTCTGAAAAAAAAGTCTAATTTTGATCTCTACGTTGTCTACTGGTAAGTATTTTTAAGAAAACCGTTTTTTTTTGTATTTAACGTAAAGATTCTGGATATTTTAGATTTATTCGATATTTTGATTTTAAGACGCGATACATCTACGACCTATATAACGTTTTAAAACGTATAAAATTAACAATATGTCATTTTTAGAACATTGTAAATTCTGTAATAAAGAAAAAGAAACAGTAAATTGAAATAATAAAAAGTTTAATAGAAATTTAGAATCGTGAATAAAATCCAAAGGGGATAAATTATTTACATATTGCTATCTATAATTGTTCGTTTTGTTTTTTTTATGGGTTTCATTTGAATATTACTTTTGCAATTTTTAATTTTTTCTTTAAAAATTGAGCATTTATCGTGTTTTTGAAGTTTTTTTTTCTGATAGTTCCTTTGTTGCTAACGGGTCAGCTTGGGCGGTTCCTCGGTAGCCATATTGGACGAGTCCATTTTAACGTTATTGATCGTGTAAGTGAAAAGCTGATGAATCATGTTTTTCTTAGTGACTATTTAACTTTAGGGAAAATATATTTTTAGTTAAAATACAAATAAATTTCTAAATTCGTTACGCGAGTAATTTTACTTTTATTATTCTTAACAATATTCCAAGTTGACAATTTATCCCTGAAAACGACTGCTATAGTAAGGTCATGTAAATTTAATACTGTTACTCAACCAAAATTATAATTTCTTTTTATAAATATTTTCTCGGTAATAAAACAAATTTTGATACGTGATTTAAGAAAAAGAAAAAATATTTGAAATCAATTTTTAAAATGTAAATCTCTTTCACAGGCAAACATGCAGATTTTTGTAAAAACATTGACGGGGAAGACAATTACCCTTGAGGTTGAGGCTTCCGACACCATCGAGAATGTTAAGGCAAAAATCCAAGACAAAGAGGGAATTCCACCAGATCAGCAGAGATTGATCTTCGCTGGCAAACAATTGGAAGATGGACGCACCTTGTCTGATTACAATATTCAAAAAGAATCAACACTTCATTTGGTCCTTCGTCTTCGTGGTGGAATGCAGATTTTCGTAAAAACCTTAACTGGCAAAACAATCACTTTAGAAGTTGAAGCTTCTGACACCATTGAAAATGTCAAGGCCAAAATCCAAGACAAAGAAGGAATCCCACCAGATCAGCAGAGATTGATTTTCGCTGGCAAACAATTGGAAGATGGACGTACACTTTCTGATTATAATATTCAGAAGGAATCCACATTGCATTTAGTTCTTCGACTCAGAGGTGGAATGCAGATTTTCGTTAAAACTCTCACAGGTATGAAATATTTTTTAGTTATACAATTTTTTTTTTCTAACCACTTTTTTCGATAATTTTTGTAATTAATGCTTTATACAAAATTTACTGTTTTTAAATAATACTTTTATATTTAAAGTATAAAAAGCATTGAAATGGAAAATTAAATTCAAAAGGTGCTTTAAAATTAATATTAATTTTTCTCTTCAGGTAAAACCATTACATTGGAAGTTGAAGCATCCGACACTATTGAAAATGTAAAAGCAAAAATTCAAGACAAAGAAGGAATTCCACCAGATCAGCAGAGATTGATCTTCGCTGGCAAACAATTGGAAGATGGACGCACATTGTCTGATTATAATATACAAAAAGAATCCACTTTGCATTTAGTTCTTCGTCTCAGAGGTGGAATGCAAATTTTCGTGAAAACTTTAACCGGCAAAACAATCACCTTGGAAGTCGAAGCTTCTGACACCATCGAAAATGTAAAAGCAAAAATTCAAGATAAAGAGGGAATTCCACCAGATCAGCAAAGATTGATTTTCGCTGGTAAACAATTGGAAGATGGACGCACCTTGTCTGATTATAATATTCAAAAGGAATCGACACTTCACTTGGTACTTCGTCTTCGTGGTGGTATGCAAATTTTTGTAAAAACCTTGACCGGTAAGACCATCACATTAGAAGTTGAAGCTTCAGACACCATTGAAAACGTGAAAGCTAAAATTCAAGACAAAGAGGGAATTCCACCAGATCAGCAGAGATTGATCTTCGCTGGCAAACAATTGGAAGATGGTCGCACTCTGTCTGATTATAATATTCAGAAAGAATCAACATTGCATTTAGTTCTTCGTCTCAGAGGTGGAATGCAGATTTTCGTTAAAACTCTCACAGGTATGAAATATTTTTTAGTTATACAATTTTTTTTTTCTAACCACTTTTTTCGATAATTTTTGTGATTAATGCTTTAGACAAAATTTACTGTTTTTAAAAAAATACTTTTATATTTAAAATATAAAAAGCATTGAAATGGAAAATTAAATTCAAAAGGTGCCTTAAAATTAATATTAATTTTTCTCTTCAGGTAAAACCATTACATTGGAAGTTGAAGCATCCGACACAATTGAGAACGTGAAAGCAAAAATTCAAGATAAAGAGGGAATCCCACCAGATCAGCAGAGATTGATTTTCGCTGGCAAACAATTGGAAGATGGACGCACCTTGTCTGATTACAATATTCAAAAAGAATCAACACTTCATTTGGTTCTACGTCTTCGTGGTGGAATGCAGATTTTCGTAAAAACCTTAACTGGCAAAACAATCACATTGGAAGTTGAAGCTTCCGACACCATTGAAAACGTGAAAGCTAAAATACAGGACAAAGAGGGAATTCCACCAGATCAGCAAAGATTGATTTTCGCTGGCAAACAATTGGAAGATGGACGAACTCTTTCTGATTATAATATTCAGAAAGAATCAACACTTCATTTGGTCCTTCGTCTTCGCGGTGGAATGCAGATTTTCGTGAAAACCTTAACTGGCAAAACAATCACATTGGAAGTTGAAGCTTCCGACACCATTGAAAACGTGAAAGCAAAAATCCAAGACAAAGAGGGAATTCCACCAGATCAGCAGAGATTGATTTTCGCCGGAAAACAATTGGAAGATGGTCGCACACTTTCCGATTATAATATTCAGAAGGAATCCACATTGCATTTAGTCCTTCGTCTCAGGGGTGGAATGCAGATTTTCGTTAAAACACTCACAGGTATAGAATAAAAACTATTTAAAGAAAATTTTTTGTTAAGCAAAATGAAAATTATAAAAATGTATTTTTTTTCCAATTTTTTGCTTATTAAATTATTATCATTTCAGGTAAAACCATTACATTGGAAGTTGAAGCATCCGACACTATCGAAAATGTAAAAGCAAAAATTCAAGATAAAGAAGGAATCCCTCCAGATCAGCAGAGATTGATTTTCGCTGGCAAACAATTGGAAGATGGACGCACCTTGTCTGATTACAATATTCAAAAAGAATCAACACTTCATTTGGTCCTTCGTCTTCGTGGTGGAATGCAGATTTTTGTAAAAACCTTAACCGGCAAAACAATCACATTGGAAGTTGAAGCTTCCGACACTATTGAAAACGTTAAGGCTAAAATTCAGGACAAAGAGGGAATCCCACCAGATCAGCAGAGATTGATCTTCGCTGGCAAACAATTGGAAGATGGTCGCACACTTTCCGATTATAATATTCAAAAAGAATCTACCCTTCATTTGGTTTTACGACTTAGAGGTGGTTCCTGTTAAAAACGAATTCGTTTTTTTTTTTCTCTAAATATAATAGACATGAAATTATTGTTTATTCCGCTAAACTTAAAAAGTCGTATTTTTTTTTTATTTTTCGAGTATTTATTAAAAAAAAAAAAAAAAATGATTGAAAAAAAAACATGTGATACAACAATGGAAATTATCTTCTAAATAATATATTAATTTTCTTCTTAATTTCTGTGATTATTTCATTCTATTTTCCTTGCAATATTATAGTTTTAAGAGATATTTAATTAAAAATTGGTTTTTTTCGAACATTCATTGAAAATAATTTTTATATTGCAGTTTTAAAATTTTTTTTTTTGTTTTATAAATCTTAATATTGAAATTAAAAATCTGTTAAACTAAAATAATATAGATAGGGAAATATTTCTAGTATATATATTAAAAAATATAATATTTATAATCTATATTAAATAATGTAATTTTGTATGTAGTTTTTTTTTTGTCTTACGATATTAATAATCGATGTGTTACTATTGAAGCTCGTATATTTTAAAGCGCGAAAATTTGAAATTTTAAGTAAAAACAAAAATAATTAAATATATTTTTAATAATAGAGATAGAATTAAAATAAATATAATGAACGTATTTATTTACTTATTAAAGGTATAGATATTTTTATATCTGCGTCCCATAAACATTAATTACAAAGGGTGAATGTTATTGAATAATCCGAAAAATTAAATCAGTTGCAATTCGTCTATTGAGTTGTTTAGATGTATCAAACTTTGTGGTAAACATTATTTTTTAAATTTTAGCAAAATTTTTATTTCGGGAGTGTTCGAAGTTCTTAAATTCGGAATCGACAATAGAAAAAGTCTTGTTTAATTAAATTTAAATTCGGGAGTGTTTTTTTAAAACTGATAAATAAACTGAAAAACTTTTAAAAGCTGATTTTTTTGTGGTTAAATATGATGCATCATTTGCAGGTTAAGGTTAGAGAAATTTTTTTTTTACATTCGCATAATATAAGACGGTACGATACATTGATACAATAAAGTATAATAATTTAATTAATATAATAATTACATAATAACATAAACAATTATTTTCTGATATGAAATTTTATGAATTTTGAGGTTATATTATCATTTAAATAAGTGATGTATTTAGAGAATTTTTATATGGAAAAAATTTGTTTCGAACGATTAGTTGACTATAAATGAATATTTTGCTTGAACCAAATGTTTATTTAAATTAATTATTCTAAACAATAATTTGGCTTAAATGTAATAATTATTAGATATTTATTTCATAATAGAGTAAACTATTTGGAATTTTATTTTTCGCTGTATATATTCAGATGTTATTTGAATTCGTGATTTATTGTAATCAATGTATAGCCGCAAGAGATTGTATAATGTGACATTGTTACTACTATGAGAACATTAAATTTGATTAAACGGCTCACAATAAATTGGATACAATTGAAATGAATTTGAATTGGATTGCGACAATACTATTCGAGATTTGGAATAATACAGTCAACAATGAGAAAAAAAAAAAACAAACTTTGTTTTATTATATTGAAAATAATTTTAAAAAATCTAATATTTATTATGTTTTATTTTTTTGACTAATTCGTCTGACAAAACATTACACTTTTTCTATATTTAAATTTGAAAATTTATTTGTCAAAAGTATATTTAAAATTGAAAAACAAAATTGACAAACGACACTTGGTCTCACGTTGTATTTTTGAATTTGTTAATTTTTGCAAGGAAATTTTAATTCTAATGGACCATTTATTGGATATATATGGTTACCAGAGTGTCGGATGATCTCTTGAATGTTTAATGGTATATGAAGAAGTGGCCGCTTATATGGACTGAGGAATCCTGGTAGGGCTCTGGTGAAGTTGTGAACTTGTACTCAGTCTTGAACTGACTGCCAGGCTGCTGGTTACCTATATAGCCATACCCCGGTCACTGACTGTTAACTTGTGTGTTATTATATCGTTAGTCACATTTGCATCTCCTTCGCGGCTATATACAAGTCACGTGCGCGTCTCCTATTTCATATTAATAGTCAGAAAAATTTTCAATGAAACTCGTATCCAATCAACCCCTAAATTCAACCCTTAATAATTTATTTACATTTCTTTTTTTCTCAATTAACATGATTTTTGTAAATTTTAATTAAAAAAAAAAAAAAAAATATATAGAGAATTATGAGGCGATGCTACTTGAAACCAAATTTTAGACTCTAGCTGTTTTTGAAAAAAGTGTTTTTTTTAAAGTGTTTTGTGTTAGTTTTTGTAAACAATGATTTTTTATTTTCTCGGGGGTCTTTTATTATTTACAATCACAGGTAATTTTATTAATTAATTATAATTTATTATTTACTAATTGATATAATAATTTAATATTTATCATTAATTATACCTCTTTTCCTCTTATATATTTTTATCAAAATAGAAGATAAAAATATTTATTTCTTTTATCTTTGTGCAAATGACGATCAAATATAATTAAAAAAAAAAAATTAGTTTTAATTGAACTTTTCTCAGAATAAGCGCAGATTTTCTAATTTAAATATAAAATTGCACTTTTCTTGAATTGCAGGAAAAATTAACTTTTTTTTTTACAAATAATAAACTTTTAAAATTCAAAAAAAAAAATTAAAATATTTTTCTATGATTTTTATTTTTTATTTAAAATCAAATTATTAATATTATTGAATTATTGAATAATTTTTTAATAAATATTATTTTAATAATAAATTTAATAATCCTTTTAGCATCATTTAGAAAATAATTTAATTATTCAATTATTTGTACACTCAGAGAAATATAGTATATTTATCTCAGAGCCTACTAATTCATTTATTTGTTGCAAATATATTTTATTTGATTTGAATAAAAAATTTATTTAAACTAAAGAAAAATTTATTTATGACATATAAAATTTTTATTTACATCAAATAAATAAGTTAGTAGGCTCTGAGACAAATATACGTTTATTTAATTCAAATATATATTTTATTTCATTCAAATAAATCATTTTTCTGAGTGTAAATAATACACTCAAGAGAAATGGTATATTTGTCTACGAGCCTATACTAACTCATTTATTTGTTGCAAATATATATTTTATTTCATTTAAATAAAAAAATTTATTTGAGCCAATGAAAAATTTATTTATGAGAAAAAAAAATTTTTATTTACGCCAAATAAATAAGTTAGTAGACAAATATATACGTTTATTTAATTCAAATATATTTTATTTGATTCAAATAAATCTTTTCTCTGGATGTAATAATAATAGTAATAATAATAATAATAATTTTAATAAAAAAATTTGATATTTTTAAATTGTACTTAAATTTTAAAAAAATGTTATCTGATGGTTTTCTATAGGGCTGAGCCTTTTTTTTTTTTGATTTTGAATATAATATAAAGTTCGATCACTGATATTTTTGGCGTGGTCCAATCTATTGATTCGTCACCGTCTGACAAGCAGAATAATTGCTTTTTATTAAAGCGTGAATCAGCCCTCACTTTATAATGATCGAATTAACGTTATAGAACACAACGACGTTTTTAATATCCTGTCATTCATTTATTGAATGGGATTTTATAACGATTGGCACATATCCACTTATTTATATATATATATATATAATATACAGTAGCATTTTTATTGAAACTTTAACCAAAAATTTATCATATTTGTTATATAAAAAATAATTAATATATTAAAAACTATTTGAATAAATTTTTCAATGCTTAATAAATTTCGTTTATAGAAAAATGTGAGAAAATTTATGTTTCATTAAATATAAATGACAAGTTGAAAATCTTTTCTCGTAAAAATTGAATTGGTTCGATTTTCTTCTTTCGACACGTGATTCCATCCATATATATATAAAAGAAGACAAAATAGTTTTAACATTTACTTCAAGTTTTGACATGTTTTAAAGTTTAAAAGTTAGTAATTCTCCTTTTTCTCTATATAGTTTTTCTCAGGTGGATTTTTTTTTTTATATAAAATCTCATTCTCACTGTTGTAAAAGTAGCTTAAAGGGTATATATTCTTTTTTTCCTCTCGCCGCGAGTTTCTCTTCTTCATGCGACATGATCCCTCCTCTTGTTTTTTTTCTTCTTCTATATACTATTATACTTGGCTTTCTTTTGTATTTTCACGCGCTTCCAGTGCGAGTGAGTAAAAGGAAAACTAAATATAGAATAGTTGAGCGTTTTCCTATATATATATATAATACTGATGGATAAAAGTAAACTTGATATTAACGCACTTTAAGAAAACAAAAAAAAAACGCGCGTGATGTTGGTATTATGTGTGTGACACGCAATCTTAAATTATCCTATAAGATTTTTAGAATCCACATCAGGGAAAATGGGGGTGAAAAAAAGCTCAATAAAACATTCTGACAAGTAAAAATAAATATAAAAAAAATCGAGATATTATTGAAATTCAAAAAGTTTCAAATTTATTAATTTTTTTTTTATTTATTGTATATATATAACATTTTCACACTATAAACATAAAGAAACAAAAATAACTCTACTCTCTAAATCTGAATTAGTAAAAATGTTTACTAATTGTTAGTAAAAGTTACTAATAATTAGTACACCCAGAGAAATGATTTATTTGAACCAAATAAAATATATTTGAGTTAAATAAACGTATATTTGTCTCAGAGCCTACTATATATAACTTATTTATTTGGCGTAAATAAAAATTTTATTTGTCAGAAATAAATTTTTCTTTGGCTCAAAAAAATTTTTTATTTCAATGAAATGAAATATATTTGCAACAAATAAATGAGTTAGTAGGCTCGGAGACAAATATACCATTTCTCTGAGTGTAAAATTTTACTAATTCAGAAGAAAAAAGTGAGTCACTAATTCAAATTAGTAAACATTTTTACTAATTCAGATTTAGAGAGTAAATCTGAATATTAGTAAAAATATTGCACTGAAAAAAAAAAAATTTATTTCATTCAAATTATCGCGGTTATTTGAGTATTATATTAAGTACACCCAGAGAAATGATTTATTTGAACCAAATAAAATATATCTTTGATTTAAATAAACGCGTATATTTGTCTCAGAGCATATACTTAACTTATTTATTTTTGTTTAAATAAAAATTTTATTTGTTAGAAATAAATTTTTCTTTTGCTCAAATAAATTTTTTTATTTCAATAAAATAAAATATATTTGCAACAAATAAATGAGTTAGTACACTCAGAGAAATGGTATATTTGTCTCCGAGCCTACTAATTCATTTATATTTGTTGCAAATATATATTTTATTTCATTTAAATAAAAAATTTATTTGAGCCAAAGAAAAATTTATTTATGACAAATAAAATTTTTATTTACGCCAAATAAATAAGTTAGTATAGGCTTTGAGAGAAATATACGTTTATTTAACTTAAATATATTTTATTTGATTCAAATAAATCATTTCTCTAAGTGTACTCTATAAATCTGAATTAGTATAAAAATGTTTACTAATTTGAATTAGTGACTCACTTTTTGCTTCTGAATTATAGTAAAATTTTTACTAATTATAATTAGTAAAAATTTTACTAATAATTATTAGTATCTTTTACTAACAATTAGTAAAATTTAACTAATTCTAAAGCAAAAAACTAATTTAAATTAGTAAACATTTTTACTAATTCAGATTTAGTGAATAGGCTCGGAGACAAATTTCTCTGGAGTGTAAATATTTACTTGAACGAAATAAATTGTATTTGTATAACAAATAATTATACTGTATTTGAAAGAAAATAATAATTATTTGATACAAATAAATATTTATTTGATATAATAGTCAAAAGTATATCAAAATAAAATTTTTTTTTCATAACTAATTTGAAGTAATTATTTATCGTTTAAGTGTAAATATTTATTTGATAATAGTAAAAGTAATTATTTGAATCAAATAATTTTTTTTTCCTTATATTAAATATTTCTCATTTTTTTTTTGTATGTAATAAATATGAAATGGAGACAATGCAAAATGCTTTATATAAAATTGGCTGCACAATTTTCTTTTACATATTTTATAGTCGAAATTACAATATATATATATATATATATATGGGAAAATAAATAACACATGAGAGGGCATCTGGGGTTTATGTTACATGGACATTAGGTATATTCGAACCGCGAATTATTTTTCGGATACATTTTTGCTGATAAGATCGATTTTTTTCTTAAATCTCTTCATTTTATTTTCGCGCGCTTTTAATGTGAGTCGAATAAAACTTTTTTTGTGTGTGTGTATATATGTGTGGGGCAGAGATTATTGAGGGCTTGAGAATCCGCAGCATATAACTATATATATGATTTTCTGGATTACGAGTTCACTGATCCATTGGATTTATAAAGTTCAAGGTTTTCTGAGATTAAAGAAGCTTGGGGGGGCCATTTGGTTAGTCTTTTTGACTGATTTAGTAGTTTCTATTTATGTGTTTTATAATAGAAACAGAAACTTATCTTACGGAAATAGATTATAGCCTCCACGTGCGTACTTTTATTCCATAAAAAAAAAAAAAATATATCGCTCTCACTATATAAAGATATCAATTAAAAATATTATACTCTCTAATTCATGAATTAGTAGTTTTCTACTAATGAAAGAGTGCGTATTCGTTTACCAATTGAATTAGTAACAGTTTTGACTAATTTTTAGTAAAAAAAAAAAAAAACTACTAATTGCTATAGTAGAAAACTAGATTCATGGAGTAAATCGTATTTTTTACTATTTCAAATTAGTAAGCCGATTTACTCCATAAATTAGTAGTTTTCTACTAAAAAAGAGTCAAAACTGTTACACCCAGAGAAATGATTTATTTGAACCAAATAAAATATATTTGAGTTAAATAAACGTATATTTGTCTCAGAGCCTACTAAATTATTTATTTGGCGTAATTAAAAATTTTACTTGTCATAAATAAATATTTCTTTGGCTTAAATAAATTTTTTATTTAAATGAAATAAAATATATTTGCAACAAATAAAAGAGTTAGTAGGCTTGGAGACAAATATACCATTTCTCTGAGTGTACTAATTCAATTTGGTGAATACGCACTCTTTCATTAGTAGAAAACTACTAATTCTGATTTAGAGAGTATTTTTTGAATTATATTTTAAAATAATTTATTTATTTCAATAATTACCCTACACTGAAAAAAAAATTTATTTGATATAAATACTCGATTACTTGAGTATTATCAAATAAATATTTATTTGAACCAAATAATTTTTATTTGAATTAAATAAATTGTATTTGAACCAAATAATTTTTATTTGAATTAAATAAATTGTATTT